TAATTGATGGTAGCTCCACTCTTGAACCTATATCCGCATCCACTCTTCATGTTGATCTAGCTGCTGGAGTTGAGGCCTATGCAGAACAGCATTGGGTATAGCGCATTACTTTGGTATATGCCACATTTGATGTTTACTTGTGTTATTCTGGAATTGGCTTTCCCCTTGCCTATTGTATTCCCCTTGCCTATTGAGTTTTTGATGAAGGCTCTTAGCGTCTTGCTGACCTTGTTTAGAGCCAAGAATCCCATTGTCCATGTGTATGGCATTGTGTTATAGGCTTTCTCATAGTTAATCCAGATTGGACTGTCTGATTTTAGAATCCTGTGTGACTGCTTGGTCTACCAGCAGGTGATGTTTTGATCCTCTGGTGTTGTTTGCAATCCCCTTTTGAGTATTATTCATGTACTGACTCATATGCCCATCGATCTTGGAGGCTATAATGTCTGACATGAGCTTCAATTTTGTAGGGAGGAAGGTGATTGGTCGGTAGTAAGATGTTATTGATCCCTTCTGAGGGTCCTTCATTACCATTATTGTTCTGTCTTGTCTTATCCAGTCAGAGTGGGAGCCTGGTGCTAGAAGCTGGTTCATTTGTGCTGCTAAGTGTATATATATATATATATATATATATATATATATATATATATATATATATATGTATATATATATGTGTGTGTGTGTGTGTGTGTGTGTGTGTGTGTGTGTGTGTGTATATATATATATATATATATTTATTTGTGGTCAGGAACCATAAGCCGATAGAATAGTAAGCAATGCAAGTATTATGATAAAAAGTCAGTTATGGTGTGCCGAACTAAGCAGTTAGTGGTTAGGTCTGTATTAAAGAGTGTGAGTAGATCTAAAAGGGGAGAAGTGGAAAGGCAACATCCATGAAGGGACGGCAGCAAGGGGAAGGACATCCCAAGGTAAATAAGATGGATAACCCCTCCAACAACTTCAGGCTCCCGTCATTTTATGTGTTCGGGAACAATAAGCTGATACAAGAGTAGGAACTGCAAGTATTATGATAAAAAGTCAGTTGTGGTGTGCTGATGAGTGGTTAAGCCTGTAATAAAGAGGGCAAAAAATTTAAATGCAATATTTTATTACATAAACATGGGGGGAGCAGGGGAAGCAGTGGTCCAGCAGTTTCTCTGGTGGTCCACTGGGCTTCCAGCATAATCTGTACCTCAGGCTGAGAGCAGACTCCTTGGAATATCCCCTTCAGGTCTTTGACCTGAAGGGAGCATTTGCAAAGCTGCTTGGAGCCAGGAACCAGGGTTTTGGAGGGACAGGGAAGTCTGTGGGTCTGTAGGGTAGCTCAGTATAGCCAGTGCCTGGATGGTAATTTAATTTGCAATGACTAGAATAATTTACACACGATTATAGTGTATACACAATTGCTGGCGTGAAGGGGTTAAAGTAGGATGATCTAATTTACCTTTGGGGTGTAACAAACTATAAACTTTACCCATTTCATAATATCTAGGCTTGATTTTGTGTGTCCATTATTGATGTTGTCTGGTAGAGGGTGTGGGAGGGCTTTTAAGAGGTGAGAAGAGAGTAGCTTATTTTGGGTGCAAGAGGCTTCCTTGTGGTCCAATTTAGTTGGTTGCAGCAGATGGGAATAGGCTGGACCTTTTCCCCTTCTATCTCTCTCCACCATAATTTTTCCTGTGCTGCAGTTCTCTATCCATTGGGATGAAGTGAAATGTTTTCACTTCCTCTCAGGACAGCAATGCATGGGGGAACAGCCATCTGGTGCACAGAGTTCTTGACCAGGCCCTTGATAAGATCTGGGCCTCTGCAAACCTGTGGAACCTAGCATTGCTTCACTGGTTGCACCACCAGTAATTTATTGCCCTGGAATGTGGAACAATTCTCAAGACCAATTTTGCCAGAACAAAGGCCCAAAACATGGGACTATCCAAGCAAATATGAGACATTGGGCAACTATATTTTACTCACTATTTCCTGCGTGCCACTTTTCCAAAGCAGTTAAAAGATACTGCTGTAAATATGCATATATAGGCCTACAATTACATCATTTTCAATTTATAACACAATATCATTTAGTTTCTATTCTTGAAATGTTGCATTTTTTTAATACAATTATTGTCCTAATTATGTGTACTGTTTTTCAAGTTATTGTGTAAATTATTATTTTTGGCTTTGTTTTCTTGTTGAACTATCAGGATGTTAATTTGTTTCTCCTTTTGTGTAACCTGATTGATGGCGTAGCGTAGGACAGCCAACAATGACATCAGAGGCGGCTCTAGACTTTTTGAGGCCTTAGGCGAAAATCAAATATGAGGCCCCCAATGCGCGATAAAACAAATAAGCAGGCGATATTAAAATTAACTGTATAAATTTAATATTTTAAGGCAAACATTAATAAACCTCACAATCTCAGTATTCACAAAGTTATTTTTGTTAAATTATTCTACAAAATATCAATACACAAACATTGGATATAGATAAAAGGTTTGTGCCTGACTACTCCGTTATTCTTGTTGGTGTCTCCTAAAACTGAAATAAAGTTGTCAACAGTGTATTAAAAGAACACTATAGCATCAGGAACACAAATGTGTATTCCTGACCCTATCGTGTTAAACTATTTAGCCCCTCCCCCCCCATTTAGCAAAAACATACCTTATTTCTAGAGCTGCACAAGTCCGCCAGCGCTGGATCCGCCCAATTGGCTAATGTAATCTAAACTGATGATCTCAGTCAATCACAATGCTTTCCCATAGGAAACCATCAGATTGGCTGAGATCTTCAATTTTGATGTCAGCCAAGGAGTCAAGTCAGGGGCGGCTGCCATGGTTAATTTTCTTAGTCATAAAAAACAAAACCTTTCTTACCTGAGAGATGAAATGAGAGGGTCCTCACAATTTGGTGTCTAGTGTCCATGCAGCCCTGAGCAGCTTGAAAAGGAGACGGCTCACTTGTCCACAGTCTCAAGACAGCTGCCTTCGCCCTTTACAGGCTTCTTCATGCAAAATTTAAAAAAATATATTTTTGAAAAAGACACGACTTAAGCAGTTTAAATTTAAATATATATTATATTATATTCTTAATTTTTTCTTAACTCCAATTAATACTTTGGTTTAACCTTCTGATTGGGGCACCAATGATAGGCAAAGAACATCATCTGAGAGCTCAGCCTAGAAGTAGTTCCCCAAAACAGAGTGAGAAAAATATGAATGGCACGTTTCCCACTCTGTTTTGTGATTGGCTGAGCCAGCCAGTGGCTTCCTGATTCAACCATTAAACTACATTGGAAGCAGTGAGGAAAAAAAGGTTTCTTACCTGAAAGAGATGAAATGAGAGGGACCTCACGATTTGGTGTCCACTGTCCAGTGACCATGCAGCCCTGAGCAGCTTGAAAAGGAGACAGAGACGGCACAGTCTCAAGACAGCTGCCTTTGCCTTTTACAGGCTTTTTCCTGCAAAATAATATAAAATGTTTTTTTGTTTGTTTGTGTTTTTTTTTTTTAATACGATAATTCTTTAGTAATACTATACTGTAATTGTAACATATTACATATTATCATATTATTATTATTATTAATATTGTATATGATATACTGTCCTTACCTTTTTCTCTCTTCTCCTCTGCTCTCTTTCCTTCACCAGCAGCTATTCTTTCTTTTTCTTCTCTTCTTCTTCTTGGTACCGCAGGGGGAGGGGTTACGTCGTCGCATTGTGACATCATCGCTAATCGGCATTGAGGATTGTCCGATTAGCAGGTTAGTGGCAGGAGGAGGGGAGGGGACTTACTCCACCACGGAACCCATGTGAGAGGGTTCCATCTTGTTGGTGCCGCAGCAATGCGGATGCGGCTGCCGGCCGGGCGTGAAAGAATTTTAATAATCATTTATATTTTTTTTTTACAGCAGCGGTTCTCTAATTACATGGTTTAGGCAGCCGCGAAGCCCCTTTTAGCGCAAGGCCTTAGGCGGACGCCTAAACCGCCTAATTAGAGAGCCACCTCTGAATGACATTACATGTAGTGAGTAATGAGAAAAAGAGGCAGAATAATGCACTGGAAGTTCAATGACATTTGGATATTGTTCCAGATTAACACCAGGGAGAGAAGATGACAAAGTAAAGAAGCCCCTACATGTATAAACAATAGCTTGAAAAGGAGTAAATACAAGGGGAAAAAAAATTAACAAAGCGAAAAAATTATCAGAAGTCTTAAATTAACCTCTTCACTGGCAAAAAAAAATGTTTTAATTCTTTATTTTTGCTGTGCACAATAATACAAGCATTCTCGCAATGCCCCAATAGCCGTAGTAAGATTAGCTAAATACATAAATTAACAGTGTGTGGCATACGGTAGTACTGCACAATTCTTTTTTTAAAGTAACATTAAAACACAGGTTGGGTCAGGCTTGTCTAGCTTGTAATCAGGATAGAGGCTAAGCTTAGTCTGGCTCAAGATTACTGTTAAGCATGAGACAAAGGCCTAGGTTGTAAATGTGGTATGTTAGCTACACAGCAATTGTAAGATTAAAGAAACATGCTTTAACAATTAAACAGCGGAGTGTTCCCCCGTGGACCATCAATACATAAAATAGCCTTTAATACTATAGCAAACAGGGAGTGAGAAGGCAAAGTTAGATTAAGCCTCAATTTATCAAAGGGATTCCAACTGAGAGGTCAGCAATCTGGCATGGAAATGGACACTGTGGAGACACTTGAACTGAGCCTAGCATGCTAATGAGAGTCTCAGTCCCACTTTATCCAATACCCCTCTTGGTGGGGGTCCAAGACAAGCGTCAGTGAAACCGCCTTCAGGCATGCCAGCTTGGTCGACTTGAATTCTCTTCCCCAGCTTGATAAAGGATCCAAGTCCCACAGATTAGTTCCTCACCAGCCCCAGACACTTGTACAGTCCTGTACAACAATCTCATTTATCCTATTGTCGGCTGCGATCAGAACTTGGGCTTGAAATACACATTCAAGCAGCTGACTGTTAAAGTGTGTACCGGCTTTCCATGTATGTGCGCAGTGCCCATCAGATGTTCCCTGGTCGAACTGGCATCTGGGAAGGTAACCATCAATCACAGAACCAGGCTTTCTGCGTGTGTATGCCCTTCCAAGTACCTTCCTCCATTTTCGTGCCATCGCCGTTGTACCGAGGCTTTTCATGACTGGCCGCGGTTGTTTGCGGTTTCCCAAAAGATCTGGCTGATCCCCATTCGTCTCTGTCTGCCTCACCATCTGATAAATGAGCGTTTTGCAAAGTTGTGTCCAAAGGCGTTCAAATGCCTCGATAATACATTCCCCGCATGAGGCCAACATTGTGGTAGAATGCTAAGCTGCAGGCTTCTTAGCAGCAGCCATTTTTGGGTGCTTGAGACAGGTTGTCCATTATGCAGGGTCTTACAGCTGTTATCTGGTCAGCTCTCCCATGGGGACCGGGATAACCCCCACCGGTTTGGGAGGGAAACAGGGCAATGAGGAGGCCTCAGCCAGGTGTGTTCACAAGGTCGGGAGATCGGCCACTTCCCCCAGTTGCCGGGCACGCTAGGCCACAGATCCATGTCAGGTTAATAGCCTATCCAACCAAAATGAATGTGGTCGGTAAAGGTGAGGTAGTTATACTGTCGGTCTGCTTCTGGAACAAGGTGAGTTCTGCCTCATTTAGCAGACTCTTAGTCACAGTTTAGTTTTTAGAGAGCCAGAGCGCCAAGAAAGTGCATCTGGCCATCTTGAAAATCAGGCCCAACCCCCACTGGCAAACATTTTTATTTATTTTTATTTTGAGTTTTTATCTTTGTTGTGGAGTTATACATTCACAGATTCGGATAAAATAGCAGGATGAGACAAAAGCAAATTTGTTAATATATGGTAAGCAGTGGTGTATCATTGTTTTGTGCTGCCCTAGGCATAACAAAACTCAGGCACCCCCCCTTCCAAATTTCTCTTCCTAACAGACACACGCCCTCACTGATGCATGGACTGATATACATTCACTTACATATACATTGACACACACTTTCACTGAAGCATACACACTCACTCATTCACAGTTACTCACTCACAATTACATACACACTCGCATTCACTGACAGACAGGCATTCACCGACAGACACATATACTCACTGACAGAAATGCATACACACTCACTCAGTGTCAGACACACACACAGGGACACACATATACTCACCAAAAGATACATACTGACAAACACACATATATAACACTCCCTGACAGAGAGAGAGAGAGAGATATATATATATATATATATATATATATATATATATATATCTCTATCTCAGACAGACACTAACAGACACACATTCACTGACAGACACATACTATTAGTGACACGCATATACACACTGATGGACACACGCTAACACTCACAATTTTTAAAATTTTTCTATTTTTAACTTCAATCCACCCATCCTCCCTACCTTTGGGAGTGCAGGAGTGGATTCTTCCCTGGGGTCCAGTGGGGCTGGGCTGGCAGGCAGGCCGAGGAAGCTCTGATCTCCCTATTTATCTCCCTCGCGCACCTCTTACTGATGCCGTAGTGATGTCATATTCCAGCTCCAGCATCACTGCGGTGTGCGTGAGGGAGCTGAAAAGGGGAGAGCTCAGGGTAGAATGCTCCCTTGCTGCCAGTCTACATCAGCGCATGCCAGCCTCAGGGCGGCCCTGAGGTGGTCAGCTGGCCAGCTCCTGGGCCCTCCAGGACAAGAGGCTGGCAAGGCATTTGTCAGTGCGATTGGGGCACAGCTTTTTTTTTTTTTTTTTTTTGCCTCCCCCCTGAAATGCTGCCCAAGGCAAATGCCTTGCCTGCCACGCGCTAAATACAGCGCTGATGGCAAGTATAGCATCCAGAAAGAGAACACAAATTTCATTAGTTTATCATCAAATAACAGGCTGAACATTTGTAAGTTATAAAATAAATGAGAGTAAGTACAAATGGGGTATCATCACATAAGAATTAGTTTAGCTAGGTTATGAGAGTAGACTGTCCCATGGAAGAAAGGATTTATGGATATCAATTGATCAAGCAGATTCTATCCCAAATCCCATGTCAGCCTGTGCCCTTCAAGGGCAGAACACAGTCCCGCAACTGGGACAGCAGTCAGAGGACCATTGGCTAGATAGGTGGGGGAGTCTTGTATAAAGAAATGCAACTACTAAGCCCCATGAGTGGCAGCGTCATCAGCTTCAACTCAATACCAGATGCCAGGCATGTCTTCCTTGATAGAAGTGGTAGCAATGCCGAACCCAGTCCCACTTACGTGGACGGTGTTGCAATATCCGAGGCCTCCATGATCTCAGACCTTGGTGATCAGGAGAGTACTCTTGGATATGTCCACCCTGAATGTGAGAAACACATGGCTGTAAAGTTGGCTGTAGGGTAAATATCTCTGGCTCTTTCTCAAAGGCCTGCATTTATGAAGCCTAGACCAGAAGTCCTCAAAGAGAATACCCAGTTTAGCCAGGACAGGGGACAGGTTGTAACAGGAGTCTGCTGAGCATGTGGTAGCCACCATTTTAGATAAGACTGTAGTACTACAGGTTACTAGTCGATGCAAGTGTTACCGTAACACTAGCTCTATGTGCCAAGATAATTCACATTGATGAACAGAATAAGGCACAGGTGACAAGTTTAGACAAAACAATGCATTGCCAAGGCAGGTAGGCTGCTGTACATGGATTAAGTCTTGTGAATATAAAAATAAATTATATACAGAACAGAAGGGGTCGTCTAACCAAATAAGGTGCAAAGACAAACGTACAGTATTGGTCATAGGCACCCCTAGTTGTGTACATATTCGTGTCATTAAGAAGATTCTCCCCCCCCCCCCCCCAGGGCACGTTGCACATCTGGGAAGGGGAGTATGGGCCCCGAATATATTCCATGGCAGGAGCGGTGCTGGGCAGCTGACTAGAACATATTTAAATTTGAACAATTTCTAATAATGACTATATTTAAATATCCTCTATATCGCAATAATGATGGAATATAATTTTTTTTTTAAAGATCATATATTTTATTGTAGTTCAAACAGGATGTGAAAGTACAAGCAAAATTTGCAGTTTTCAAGATGTATTGAGTGACTCAGTGGTGAGTATAGTTAAAGGAACACTATAGCATTATTAATACAAATACTCATACACAGGGCTATCTCTGTATTCACACTACACCCCCCTAGATACATACATACATACACACACACACAACACAACAACTCACAACAGCCTCTAGACACACACTCGACTGGGATACACATGTAATGTCTGTTATGTACCAGCATTGATCCTTCCTTAATCCTCTCTGATTTCTAAATGTGCCTATTGTGCAAGGGGAGGGAAGAGGGACTTACCTGAGAGAGTAAAAGTTGTATATTATAATGCCTTTTGCGAAGGACAAATGTCCATCAGCAGGCCTGGTGAAATATATATTAGATTTAAATAGCTTTTATTTTTTATTCTTGCTGTGCATGAAAATTACAATCAAGCAATAAACGCCACAACAGCGGTAAACAAGGCATTAATGAGGATAGAGAAGATACTATTGCCTGGCATTTCTAGAGACTGAGATGTATGTATGTATGTATGTATGTATGTATGTATGTTCCACTGGGTGAACAGAAATAACTATTGTAGGTGATTGATTTAGAGACCATGAAATCCAGAAAAACAGCATTTGTGATGAATGCATTGTGTAATAGATTAAAACTCAAATAATGAAAAAAACATTGCTGCATGTGTAATCTAGAGTCAGATTAAATGATGGACACTAATAAACACTAAAATAAAATAAAGACATAAGTCAGGTGAGTGCCACACTGTAATAGTAATGTAGGTAAGCTAAACTCACTAACTTTGAGGAATGTAGCAATACCACTGGTTACTCTAGCAGCAATAGAGGAACAAAAAGATTGAAAACCTGGAGGGTCAAACACTGCATGAACAACTAACATAGCATAAATGGTGATTGAACGTTAAAAAGTCTCTAACAGCGATCAGCCTATAACTAGTGATGTACCGAACGGTTCGCCGGCGAACATAGCATGTTCGCCACGGCGGGCGAACATATGCGCGGTTCGACCCGCCCCCTATTGTCATCATTGAGTAAACTTTGACCCTGTACCTCACAGTCAGCAGACACATTCCAGTCAATTAGCAGCAGACCCTCCCTAGCAGACCCTCCCACCTCCTGGAAGGCATCCATTTTACATTCATTCTCAAGCTGCATGCTTAGTAAGAGGAGGGAAAGTGTAGCTGCTGTTCATTAGATAGGGAAAAGCATAGCTAGGTTAGGGTTAGAGTATGCTTTTTTTTTTTGTTTGTTTTTTGTTTTCTATGTTATGTAATTGCACTTAGTTGTCTGCCACTGCTGCCAGCTTCTGTGTCAGGCTCACAGTGCATACTGTGCCCATTTCCCCAGTCAGTGCCACCAATTACATCTGGTGTCACAATAGCTTGAATTTAAAAACAAAAAACTTTTTTTACTGTTATAGATTGAATAGCAGTCAGTGTCCTTAAAGCGGGTGTGTTACGCTAACAGTGGATACGCTGACCAGTGCCACCAATTAGATCTGGTGTCACAATAGCTTGGATTTAAAAAAACAAAAAACTTTTTTCACTGTTATAGATTGAATAGCAGTTATCTTCAAGCGGGTGTCAGGCCTACAGCCTGTGCTCTGCACAACTGTGCCAGTGCACATTGCCACTCATATCTGGTCTCACAGTAGCTTGCACGCATAGTACCACTAATCCCAGCAAAAATGACAGGCAGAGGCAGGCCACCCCACTTGGGCCATAGTGGTCGTGGTGCTGTGATTCCCTTTGGCCCTAGAATAATGCCCAGTTTTCAGAGGCCACGTACCCTGAACTTGAAAAGTTCTGAGGACATAGTTGACTGGCTAACACAGGACACCCAATCTTCTACAGCCTCCGCTCAGAACCTTGACACACCATCCTCCTCCAGCTTAGCTTCAGGCACCTCTCAAGATACCACTCACCCGCCTGCGCCACCACCAAAACTAGCACCACAGCCGCTTCAGTTGGTATGTCAGAGGAGTTATTCACACATCCGTTTGAAGAAATGAGTGATGCGCAACCATTATTGCCAGAGGATGTAGATAACAGGGATATGTCTCAGGCAGGCAGCATTACACACATGGACGTACGGTGTGATGATGATGATGATATTGTACCCGCTGCTGCTTCCTTTGCTGAGTTGTCAGATACAAGTGAAGCGGTTGATGATGACGATGCGTCCATGGATGTCACGTGGGTGCCCGCTCGTCAAGAAGAAGAACAGGGCGAAAGTTCAGATGGGGAGACAGGGAGGAGGAGGAGACGAGTTGGAAGCAGGGGGAGGTCGTCGCAAGGAGCTAGTGGCACAGTCAGACAGCATGCATCGACACCCGGGGTCAGCCCGACAGCACGCCAATCAACGCATGCTGTGTCCACCACCAGAATGCCGTCATTGCAGAGCTCAGCAGTGTAGAATTTTTTTGTGTGTGTCTGCCTCTGACAACAGCGATGCCATTTGCAACCTGTGCCAAAAGAAACTGAGTCGTGGGAAGTCCAACACCCACCTAGGTACAACTGCTTTGCGTAGGCACATGATCTCACATCACAAACGCCTATGGGATCAACACATGAGTACAAGCAGCTCGCCTACTCTAAGCCGCCAGCCTCCTCCTGGTCCAGCATCTTCAGCCACGTCAACCACTGCTGTCCTCCTTGTCCCTCTCAACCATCCGCCACTCCGCCTCCCGCCTTGAGCAGTTCACGCTCATCTTCCTACGCGTCTGTCAAGGACATGTTTGAGCGTAAGAAGACAATGTCAGAAAGTCACCCCCTTGCCCAGCGTCTGACTGCTGGCTTGTCCGAACTATTAGCCCGCCAGCTCTTACCATACAAGCTGGTGGAGTCTGAGGCGTTCAAAAAATTTGTAGCTATTGGGACACCGCAGTGGAAGGTACCCGGCCGAAATTACTTTTCGCAAAAAGGCAATCCCCAACCTGTACTCAATTGTGCAAAAGGAAGTAATAGCATCTCTGGCACACAGTGTTGGGGCAAGGGTCCATTTGACCACTGATACCTGGTCTGCAAGCATGGTCAGGGCAGGTATATCACCTACACTGCGCATTGGGTAAACCTGCTGACTGCTGCCAAGCATGGAATGCATGGCTCTGCAGAGGAGTTGGTGACACCGCCACTACTTGCAGGCAGTCCTGCTGCCACCTCCTCTACTCCTCCTACTCCATCCTCTTCCATAACCTCCTCGGCTTAGTCCTCTTCTGCTGCTGCGTCTTGCTCCACATCAACGCACCCCCTCAGCCCCAGGTACTATTCCACATCCCGGATAATGCAGTGTCATTGTCTTGGGTTTGATTTGAAAGCAGAGAGTCACACCGACAAGCACTCTGTCCTTCCTGAACGCATAGGAAAAGTCGCTTGACTCGCAGCGGTAATTGTGTGGCGAAACCGGCCTCGCCACGTGTCTTTGGAGGGGGCTGCTTGCCCGCCTCTTGCCTTTGGACTATGGACCAGACTTTATGAGAATGTGTTAACCCAGATAGCTATGCCATGGAGCCCATTTGTGTAGTTAAAGACTTTGGCTCCATAGCAATTGAACTGTGTGAATAGGATCTGAACGCTCTTCAGTAGTTTTGTGCGCTCAGATCCCAGCTATCTGGGGATATGTGAAATGTCTGTGTGTTATGTGAAAAGGTTACTTTATGTATTTTAAAGTGTTTTGTGTCTTTTTGCAACCATGTGCTTAATGGAGTCTTGTGTCTGTCCTGGGAGATAATTGAATTACTTATCTCCAGGATAGAAGACTCTGAAACTGGTTTGGGCCAGAAAGCCATGCTTCATTTAGTCACAAAGGACTTTTTACTAACTTTTGAACCCCTTTGTCTGATTTGTGCCATTTTTGAATATGTTGTTCCCCTGAATGGATTGATTGTGAATATGTAATTTTATGTGAATGTGATGTATGGTTTTGGAGTTATGAAAGTTGGGTAGAAAGTATGTTTTAACTGTATGTATAATTGAGTTTCCTCTCAGGATAAGGGGAGGGAATATGTGGGATGTAACTGTGATGTGATTGGTTATTTTGTAACGCCCTGTGGGCTGTACTATGTTTGTGGATTGGGAATAAAAGAGACTGTATGTGACAGTACAGGGAGTTCCTGTTTTAACCCTCAAAGTGAAGTGTCGTCTCATTATTGGGGAAGGATTTATTGTATGCTGTTCCAGTTTGACTGCTAGGAGAGTAAACCTATTTGTATGGTTCCTATTCAACTGTCTACAGCATTCATATGCTTGGGAGAATTTATTTGTTTCTCCGGTTCAGTGATTGTGGTGTCTGCCAGAGTGCTTGGAGTCCTC